AAATCATTATGTCTGCGAGTGGCTCGAAGTTCTCGATTGGATTTCCACCAGTGGCTGTGCTAGTTGTGGTGATGGTAGTAGTGGCGGTCATCGTTGTACGCGTCCTGGTGGTGGTTGTCTCTGTGGTTGAGGTGGTAATGCCGGTGTCCTTGCTGCAATTCGCATGCTCTTATGACACGTATGGGCCATGGTCAAAAAAAAGGACGTGCCAACGCAGTCAGGGACTCGGTGCACGCAATGTGTGGTTGAACCTATGGCAAAAGGTGGCATCATGGAAGGGGTCACAAGCCGAATTACTTCTGAAGCCTGCTTGAAGGGATGGTAGGCGATGATATCCTTTGAGGAGCAAGACTGCCACCCTGGCCAGTTTGTACCTGAGTCCAAAGACGTCAGGACATGCAGCTTGAGCGAATGCAGCAGCTCAATTGCAAGCCTGCATGTCCTGTACGGGTGATCATGCTGCAGACTCAGGAGCAATGATCCTCCACTAGCAAGTTGCCCACCTCAGCTGCCCCAGCATCGAGCCACACTCTCTGCTTAGACATTGCATTGCTCAAGTGTTCATCACTACGACCTGCGCTTGGCTGCTGTGCCAACCTCAGACCTGTCAGTTCCGGGTCCAAGCCTTAATCACTCAAGCCAGGAAATCACAAAAGGACGCACAATTGATTTGGAAATCGTTATCCGGATGCGCGGAGGAGGGGGGGCCTTCGGTAAGGGGTGCAGGTTGCGAAACTTTTTTGGTCTGAGCACGCAGTGCCCATGCATGTGGAATGAGACTCGGAGGCAGCACGCACGATTCCGGGGCTGGGGGTAGGATCGGCGTTTTTTAGAGTTTCTAGAACACGCAAAAGGAATAGCATACGTCCGCGAAAATAGCAATAATGATAATTAATGGTAATGGTGGTTAGAGGATGATGTATGAAAATAATCACGCTAACAGTAACATGAACACACAAAGTAACAACACCGCTGACAGGCTTCGTAATGATTAACGAGCTGATGGCAGCAGGAGCAGCAGCACTAGCAGCAGTAGTTGTTGCTGTTGCTGTGGTTGTTGATAGCAACCATAGCACTAGTGGAAATAGTACTTGCTCTAGCCGTGGCAGCATTTTCGTGACAGCATCAGTAGAAGAAGCAACTCGTTTATAGCGATAGACAGAGTAACAGTAACAGGGATAACAGCCATAGAAACAGTGAGCGCAACAGTACCCGCACATGCAGCAGCCGTGGGGGGGTGGTGAGGTTTACACGCTGCACTGCAGGATTTCATTTCCGACCCAACACCGTAGGCAAATGTGACATTGTTCGAACAAACGCGATATATGTTCAATTTAACCGCGGTTCCGCTATTGCAATATTGCCCGCGCTGGTGCAAAACTATCTCTAACCTGACTTTTGACTTCCGTTACAACGTTCTGGCTGGTCTTGAGGGAAGGGCCTGACTGCCTCGAGGTCGGCAACTAGAGCCGAGGGCTCTCAAAGTCTGGCCTGGCCGTCAAGGTCCAGTGCGGATGCA